TCATTTTATACTTCTCTCTAGAGCCCTCTTTTCAGGTAGCCATATCACAAGAATTAAAATTTATATATATGATGATAATGATCTAGCATTTTAAAAATCCACACTAATTACAGGGCATAACCATACTAACCCCCATTAAAACCTACAAAGACAAGAAAGGATGGGTCAAATTCTTCATTTGTGAGTTAAGAGTCCTGCAGAAAGCCCACAGAAAAGGCTTACAAAGAAATTTTTGTTGCATTTTTTCACAACCATCCGTAGTTAGCCCCGATTTCATATCTTTGCACTGAAGCAAACTAAGACCCGCACAACTAATTCTTAAAAGTTCATGTATGTGAGCTTTGCTATATTCAAAATGGAAGAAAGGGCAGTACCTCTTTTTGTCACACACAGAACAATCCGACCAATTTATCTGATCAATGACTGGAACAATAAATGAGTTGAGCAGCAAAAATTGCATTACAATAATGCAGCATAATGAAAGCCATTTAAATCTGTATAGGGGTGGGTTGCAGGCGGTACGCCCCGGTATGGGCGTACCGGTGCCTGCCCAGAGCACAAGGTACCGTTCCAGTATGGTGCTCCGGAGGGCCCACCCGCCTGCCCATCATCCTTACCTGTCTTTAAACTCTTCTACACTTCTGCACACAGTGCATACAGCGCCTGTGTGATGCTCCTCCGAACAGCTGGAGCGTCGTGGAGTAATCACTGGAGGGTAAGACGCATGTGTGCGCTGCATATGTCTGTGCACATGCTGCATGCATTCATGTGGAGGACACTGGGCCCCATTGCAACTGTACTGGTTGCAATAGGATCCAGAACCTACCACTGATCTGTATGTACAATTTTAGTTACTTAGCATGTAAATAACTGACTCTGAACATAATGTTTATTCTTCATTATGAAAGTAATTTGTTTACATGCTTTAGTAGTTGTAGCAGAAACTTTAACTATATGATATGTTATGTTAGGCCTATTGTCTGACAAGGTAAACAAGGGAAACGTTGTCCTGCCATATGTTCCAACAAGGGAGAGTTTAGAGATTGAGAGCTGCTTTGATGATATGAGGAGTATATATTGTGTAGTTTCTATCAGATTTGAATCACAGGGAAAAATTCTTTTGAAGAAAGAAATTTTAGCTATCTACCAGCGAGGGACAACTGGTATAAAACATCATGTCTGACTCTTAAAAGAGGCTGAGCAGTGGATGCAAGTTAAATACCTTTTTGGTTCACATCTATGATATTCTAAATGTTCCTTGATATGATCTGAAATTAAATGTTGTTATTATGTTCTTCAATATCAAGTCATTGGTCTTAACAATTTAAAAGACATGTTCATGTTGTAAGGACAATGACTAGTTAAGAAGGAGGCCAAGAGTGGTATGCTTTTGAATATTAGTAGATACCAGAAGCACTGAAATTGATCTATCAACTGAACCTCAGCAAACCACCTTACAATGAGCTGACTGACAAAGCTTTGGAAACGGTTGTTTATCGCTCACTTAACTTCCACATTGCCCTATCCAAAACGGATTACTTATTTTTTACTACTACAACAAACAAACATGATGACTTGTCTCCAGAATAAAAATTAATGCTGTTTACTTCCAGATGAGCATAGTTAGGACTCAGCTAAAAGAAACTGTCATGCGAGCTAAACTTGTTTCGCTGTGCTCTATTATCTGTACATATTCATAAAATATCTTTTATGGAAAAATACTAATTCAATTGTCTGAATTAAATCTGAAACAAATCTGAAACAAAAACGAACCATCGTTCTTTTTACTGCAAAAAACCTCAGTTTTTATATAAAAAGACTGCACAAGCAATCTATACCCGAAATTAATAAATAAAAAAAAGAAAAACACAGAGTGACAAAGCTATTTTCTCTACTATATTTGGATGGTAAGCAATTAAAGAAGAGAGAAAAACATTGATTTTTTTTTTTTAAAAAAAAAACAATATTAGCAAGCAAGTTAAAAAAAGCTGCAACAGGACTTAGATTATTTTGCTGCTTTTTTGCATCAATGAAATCGTTATGAGTAGGTATCAATGTTATTAGAACAACTCGCTCAATACAATAAGCTATGTAAATGTGGGAACTCTCCTTTACTGTATGTATAATTGACGTGGACCATGCAGAAAAAAGTTACATCTTTTGCCAGAGTCATCCAACAACGAGGTAACACAGCTAAGAATGTGAGATATGGTAAAGAAATCATCACTATAAAAATCAGCACCTGAATTTTTCTCTCCTCCAACAGTCCCAAAGGTGCTTTTTCAGGAGACCACTAGACTTTCTTGTTTTTTCCTTTGAAGACGTTTCACTTTCCATCCAAGAAGCTTCTTCAGCTCTGATAGGTTAGTGGGAAATGGAAGGATCCAGCCAGAGCTGAAGAAGCTTCTTGGATGAGAAGCAAAATGTCTTCAAAAGAAAAAATAAGAACGTCCAGTGGCCTCCTAAAAAAAAGCACCTTTGGGACAACCATGACCTGGATGACTGAGAATCTCTATAGACCTCTCCTCCACAGCTTACAATAGGAACAAAATGTGTGTGGGGGGGGGGAGTGCCATAATTGTCCTGAATTTAATGGGAATAAAGGAAATAAGATAATAATTTTTCAGCAGTGCTAAGGATTGAACTCTAGGGCTGGTCAAGTAATTCTTGCAGAGATTACATTATTTTGCTGCTGTCAATGGTAATTTTGGCTGATCCAAGAAACTGGCCAACTGGTATCCTATGTGCTCTTCAAAATAGCATTTCCCTTTTGAGAAATACAAAGTAGAATTTGAGCTAACGGAAATGATACAACTTGGAACCAGGCCAGCTAATCATGGATTGGATTTTATGTCCCATTGAAATAACAGATGCTCCAGCAGCATGTAGCACCTACTGCATTGCCTTCCTGCTGCTTCAGTGCTAATTTAGAGCCCATCCGTTGCCCAGTCACCTATACTAGCTCATTGTGCATTACAAGATAGTATTAACAAAAACAGGCACATTTGTAGAGCCATTTCTGATATGATCCTCTGATATAAAAGGAAATGATGACCTACAAATCAAAAAAGATTCACTCTGACATGCATCTGAGCCCTACCTCCTCATTTTAATGCTCAGGTTACAATACATTCAGATGTACTCGTAGAGAATCTATACACTCAGTATCAGTTGGGCCTGTTTGGTTCAATGTCATCTTTGTTTCCAAACTAATTTTAAATTTCCGTAGTTTTAAGGATCTTACTCTTTTCCATCTAAGCAGAATTATCTGGGTTACAGTTTTCAGCTGGTATTCATTTTGCCACCACTCTCATTTTTTCCCTCCTAACCAGGGCTTCAGGAGCAAGGCTAAAAGGATGGAAAATATCTAGTTAAGATTTTTGCCTATCAATAAAAATATACGGACAGTTTAAACAAACATTTTGGCAGTCAGTCAGATGAGGCTAGGCCTTTTGAAATGAGTTATCAGCTTATAATCTCCAGGGCACCAACTAGCACTAAAATGTCTTCTTACAATAGTATTTAGTTTATTACAAATAAAGAACAGCAAAGAAAAATACCTGTGGGTATTAGGTTTAAAGGAAATGATTAAGAGCAAGTGTAAACAAAAGAACAATGACTAAGCTCATCCAGGATGGAGATTGACTCTCAGGGAATCAGGCAAAGGCTTTAAGCATATTTGAAATCGAATAAAATAATAGTTTCACTCAAGTACTTACTACACCTAGACATCTGTGTGGCTTCAAATCCTTCTGGCATCCTGGAGGATTATATTCCACAACCCTAAAATGGATTTAAAATTGTTTCTTTCTCTCCTAATGAGCTGCTTCCTCAGAAGATTCCAAAAATAAATAAATCATCCAGCAAAGTTTTTGATGCCAACTATTTAACCTCAAGGAAGTGATGAGTTGTGTTTGCTTTGGGATTTAACCAACTGTCCCTCCTGAGTTTCATTACTGGAGGATGCGTTCGACTGAAAGGCCATTATTGTCTATTTTGATATAATGGAGTCCAATGAACCCTCTAGCAAAGTTAATTATAGAGTCATAATTACAGAATAACCATTCATTTTTGTTTCTTTTTGAAAGACTTCTTTTTATAGTTTCTTCCTTTCGTTATAACTTCCCTTGTTGTTTATTTGTCCTTTCTTTCTTTTTTTGTATTAAACTAATACTGCAAAACAAGAGAGTAGCATTCACAAAGAGGATAAAAAAGTATTACTGATGAGTATAACATTGTTATGCTTACTGCGCTAACTTTCCCTATATAACAATGCATCAGATTCTAGCAATACTTGATTAGTTTTTCATGTGAATTGTTTCACTTATAGATAAACGAAAACAGTCATACTACCTTCCTGGCAATTCTGCCATTCATCCAACTTTGGGTTCCCTATTGAAAACGTAACATCATCAATACACAAGTCATGGTCACGTTTAAAGCTGACAGCTTTAAGCAATATCAAATGACAGACAAGTCACTGCCACATTTCAAGGCCAAAATTTACATCTCTTTCAATCTGAAGATGTCAATGTGGTGATTTTTAATTTCCTGCTGCCACTGTATTCTGGCCCATTCCCTCACCACTAAAAAAAACTTCCAGAGATTAGTCCTACTAAGCTCCATTTCAACGGTAGCAAAATGGAAATCTGCAAAAATAGCAATAGCAATAGCAGTAGACTTATATACCGCTTCATAGGCTTTTCAGGCCTCTCTAAGCGGTTTACAGAGAGTCAGCATATTGCCCCCAACAATCTGGGTCCTCATTTTACCCACCTCGGAAGGATGGAAGGCTGAGTCAACCCTGAGCCGGTGAGATTTGAACCGCTGAACTGCTGATCTAGCAGTAGCCTGCAGTGCTGCATTTAACCACTGCGCCACCTTGGCTCTTATATAAAATAGCTTCCATTATGCCTTTATTTTCCTACCAGCATAACGGCAACTTGCACCTTAAAATCATACAATTCTGGTCATTTATATATATAAAAGACTTTTCTTACCTCTACCACATGAGGTGTTGGGTTGAATCCACACAAGTTGCAGACCTGCTGCTTACAGGATGTGCAGGTATTATAATTGGAGGGCTCTCCAGAGCCCACGTTTATCTCCGCTTTGCAGAGGGGGCATAAAACCCTTTCTTTCGGCACTTCCTTTGGCTTGGTTACTTGTTCTGCTTTCGCTTGCTTTGCAGCTGGGACAGTTCCAGGCTTACTCTGCGTTCCAGGTCCAGTGCTTGGAGCCTTAGGGCCAGCTTCTTTGCTGGCATCACTGAAGACAATTTTTGGAGGCACTTTGCCAGGAGACTGTTGACTTGGTGGAGTGGCCTCTGGCTGGACAGACATGAGTGTGCTTGCCTGGGTCAGGAGGGAAGCTCCAAATCCAAAAAGCTTCCCAGTGAGGCCCTCTTGGGTTTGTTCTTGAGCCCCCACAGCACTGGGAGGAGGGACCGGAGTCTTAGCTGGGGAGTCTCCTACAATCTTTCTCTGATCAATGGATGAAGGCTTTGCTTGTTGATGCTGAGGGGAAGACTTCATCACTTCCTGAGGAGCAGCAGGTTTTGGCTGGACTTGGCTGGGTGGTTCTCTCTGGGGTGAGACTGGGGGATGTTTGGGGGATGGAGGCTGCATGGTTGCAGCACTTGGCCTGGGCCCTGGCTGCATAGTTCTGGGTTGTTTCTCTGGTCCTGTTGACGCTTGTGGCTGTGGTTGTGGCTGTTTGGCGGGGGAATGGGAAGGAGAAAGGGAAGGAGAATGTAATTGCTGCTGACTTTTGGAGCGGGGTGCTGTGGTCATGTCCATTCCCAAAGCTCTCTGCATCTGGCAATTTAAACATAGCCATTCTTTAACCTAGGAGACAATAATAAAACAGAGTAACCAATCAGCAGCAAATGCAAAATTGTCATTAAACTGCGGATTCTGATGCACCTGATATGCCTGTGCACATATGGAATATTGCCTTTTACTCATTAAACTAAATAAAACATATCTGAACCTCTTCATAGGTCTTAAAGGTATTTTGTTGCAAGTCACTTGTTCTTTTTGGGAGCTGTTATCTGAAGGCTTCTATTATTTCCTCTAATGCATCCAGCGTGTGTATTTCTCTGAGCTGGTTCTTATTTCTGATGGTTTCCATCTGACCATATTAGGAATATAGCCTGTCACTCTAACCCTTTTCCAAGGTGCTGTGACATCAGTCATAAAGTAGCCTCAATGGAGGCTTCACTTCAATAGATAGTTATAAGGGCAGCAACTACAAGAATGATTTGTGGCCCATTGGGCTTGCTTGTCTTACCTCAAAAGATACTTTGGCAAAGGCAGAATTACACCAGCAGCAATGTACAAAAATCACATTATTTGGGCCTAGTACAACCAGTTTCTGCCCTTAGATTCCTAAAATTATAAAAGATTGTAAGCCCAGCAATCTTTCTGAAGCAAATAGTTGTGATATTTTTTCAGTTGGCTGTGCACTCAGTATAGAAAGCAAGGCACATCATCACTCAATAAACCCCCTGGATACAAAAAGAAAGCGGTGGCATATTTTGGCTAAGCAGTAATAAATGAATTGTCTTCCCCCATGAGGAATATACCAATGACATAGCAATATCTGAATCAAGTTAATTAAAGAGGCTGCTTAGGAGCCACAAATCTGTTGATTCTTGGAATTCCCAAGATAAAACGTGGCTGTATGAGTGTTAATATGCAACATAGTTAAATAATCACAATTATTTATAAACTGGTGGGTTTCTTTTCCCCGAGCAAGCACTTGTAGTCTTAAAAATCTGTATGATAATAAGATTTGCAAAATGGCAAAAGAATAATTGAGAACATTACAGTTAACAGAGATAGTTGGGAAAGTGGCAAAAGGTTCACATCGCCTCCATGTTTAAAACATAACAAGTCTAAACCCATCTTTACCCTCACATCCTTCTATTTTCTCTGATCTAATCCTGTTAGTTTCTCAGCCCATTCAGGCCTTCTTTCTATCACAACTGGAGTATGCTCACCATATAGTTAAGCTCCACTTCACTTTAAGAAGCTAAAGAGGGCACACAAAATGACTCAAAATGTCAAATAGATCTATCTATACAATCATACTCAAACTGCATTCAAATGTTGCCTGCCCTATTAAGAAATGTGCACAGATCTAATCCATACAATGAAATTATGTCTGTTTGATACTTTGCAACCTTCAATAGGGCGAAATGGTGTGTCGTAGAACAATATGGTTTGAATCAATGTATCTCAAACCTAACTTACAGCATGCACTCAAAATATGAGATCCATGAGTCCTGTGGGATTTGGCATAGTTGTGGCCAGTTCAGAGCCACCATACTTGAAGGTTTCATGGCACAAAGAGGGCATATCTTCACCCTCTTTGATCCCTGTGCCCAAACAATTGATGACAAGGCTCAACAGGTGAGCAGCCATTGGCTGCTTTTCAACCAAAGCTGAAATTCAAAATCTCTCAATAGGGTTGGCCCATGAAGGAAGAATGAGGGAATGATTCAAATACCCTGTGGCAAAGTAGAGCTGGTTGGGAGGTGCTGAGTGTGCCCTCTTCCTTCTGGGAGGAAGGGGGCCCTTGAGAACATGGTGGAATTGGAGAAGGGGAATTTCCTTCAGTGTTCATGGATTCCTTTGTTCACCCTCCACACAACAAAATGATCAGTTCTACAGATCAGCCAAGTGGGAGGAGGGGAAATTAGAGGAGGAGGCTTCAGTGGGGCTCCCATGAGGGTGCCTGCTTATATTATATGTGGAAAGAGAAAGTATGAGGGAGAATGTGATCAGCTAAGGCTGGTTAGGTGTCACTGGGACACACCAGAATGTCTTTGATACAGAGATACAGCTTTCCTTGTGGTCCGTTGCTCCCTTTGTTCCCCCTTACTTCAGCAATGTAGGGGGCAGTACTATAGGTCAGCTGAACAGGACAAGGAAGAAGCTTCACTGGGGCTCTCCTGAGGGTCATGAGGGAAGGAGAAATGGTGCAAGCCTATATTATATGGGGAAGAATAACCTAACATATTGTCTAGTTATCTATAAGGCTGATCAGAATCCATAGAAGTGCTTGTGAGATCATAACTTTAAAACACAATACAAGAAAGTGAAACACAGCCACCTCACCAGATTCTCCCACTACCCACTGTTTCCTTTTTTTTTTAACAGTGATGATCCCATGGGAAAGAAGTTTTCTGGAGACTCCACAAACTCTTGACACTGTACCCCTCCAGTTTTCTTCTCCCAGTTCTGATTTTCAAACACACTTTCCTGTTTGTTCTCTTGCTCTCTAGTGAGCCACAGTAGCACAGTGGTTAGAGTGCAGTACTGCAGGCTACTTCTGCTGCCTGCCGGCTGCCTGCAATTTGGCAGTTGAAATCTCACCAGGCTCAAGGTTGACTCAGCTTTCCATCCTTCCAAGGTGGGTAAAATGAGGTCCCAAATTGTTAGAGGCAATATGCTGACTCTGTAAACCACCTCGAGAGGGATGTAAAGTGGTATATAAGTCTAAGTGCTATTGCTATTGCTCCACTGGCATGGAGTATGCTACAAAACAAAGCTGTAGTTATGGCTGGCTCCTCATTTTTCTACAAGGTCTGCCTCTCAGAGACATGTGTGATTTTGAGTTGAAAGAGACACTTTTGGATTCTGGACCTAATGAGCTAGTCTTAACAGCATCTACTTTATTGTATTGTATTTTAATGTTATGATCAGTAGACACAAGCATGGCTTTCTATTCTGCTTGGCTTTATATATAGCTAGAGAATCCATGACCTGTTAGATCATCCCCCCTCCCTATACTATAGGCTACCATGATTTGTCCATGGTTGTTAAAGGAAACAGGTGCAAGAAGCATTTTATTAAAAGTCTTAGCCAGCCTGTTGTAATAGTCATTTAGTCTATTTCTTTGGATACAGAAATCTTTTATTTTTATTGTTTTTTTTAAAAAAATATTGGAAACTACAAAATCATATAAACAAAATGATTCAACAAGGAGGTCAGAGTCTAATTCCATAGCTACCCATCAAGTTAAGATGCCAGGTGACAGTGTTCAGGAAGATCACTGCCTGAGAATTACAGCCAGTCAGAAAAGGTTATGTTTGTTCTATGGTTTTAGTATGAGAAAAAATATTATTCCTATGAACAGTTAGACACCTGTGAGCTAATTACAATAAATCAAGAAATAGAAATAAGAACAAAAGGCAGAGCAGGCATGCTTATTATTTCTATCCTATCAAGACCACTTGATATAGGCAAAATCAAACTATCCCCTATGATTTACATTGTACAGTCACACATACGTGCATTGTAAGCACCTGCTATGCCAGTTGGCATCCCCCAATATACAACAGTCTCTGAAACAGGATCTTATCTGTCAGACTTCCCATCTTACTGACCTAGCAGCTAGTAATGGTTTTAGCTAGCAAGAAAACTGCAAACACTCTTCTAAGGCAGCAGCAAGGAAGATGTTCCTGCTGAAAGGAGTGTCAAGCACTAGATTGCAATCCATCTGTGCAACCCACACCCCTCAATCTAGCTTTACCTGGTAAACATGCAGTTTGTCTGCATTACAAAAGACAGATGGAGGAGGGGAGATTGGTGCAGAAAATGGAGTGGGTAAAGAAGAAACACCCACATCCCACCTGCTCTTTCTTTCAGAACAGCTTCTTCACAAACAAGTTTCTTTCGTATCATTTTTTAAAAACAAGGAGGACACTGAAAATTATGTTGCCCTTAAAGTAAACCTTCATACTTCAGAGGAGTCCCATTTTTGCACTGGTATGTTCACATTTTGAGATTATGGTTTTTTTAATGGCCATTCCACTCCTATGAATGTTTGCTTGAAACAAAGGGCCATTGAAATCAGTAGGTTTGCTTCTAAAATAGGAAGATTGTTGGCAAAAGGAAGACATGTCTTCTTTTTTCTCCATAAGTTCTCCATTTGGCATTCACAGCCTTGCAATCTAATAGTATCAGGCATTTCTAGTATCTCTTTTTAAAGCAGTTTTCCCCCAGTGCAGTACTTTTCAATAAGTGCTAACTCAAGTTAACAAGCTCTGCTCTATAACCTTAATCAGTTGATTAGGACCTTCTCTCTGTTGCCTGAAACTGACCAGACCTTAATCAGGTACATACTGAAGGCTTTTGCCTCCTACTTTAGCACATTCCTGTCACTGAAAAACAGACTTTCTGATGAGTTACAGCAACAGTATCAAATAACCTTATTGCAGAGTTCATGTAAAATTTAAACAAATTTTGAATTACAATCAAGGCAATTGATTTAAAGCAATTACAATTATTTTTGTACTATTTAACATGAAAAGGAGACTGCTCGATCAAAAAGACTGCTATTTTTACTCCATTGACAAAATATCATTCTTACTAACCTTTAGTTTTTTACATATAGATGAGTTTTTCACTGATATGGACTATTCTTTAAAGTAAAATTAGTTACAACATATTCCCAGTAATTTTGAAGATCTAGTTTCTTGCTGAAGCATGTTTATTCACTAACAAATAGAATATGGAGGCAGAGGTGGGTTCCTACCAGTTCACACCAGTTCAGTAGAACCGGTTCGTCAAATCTACCGAACCAGTTAGAAGAGGTTCCATCAGAAAGCAGGCCACACCTACAGAAGAGGTTCCAAATTTTTTTGAAACCCACCACACACACACACACACACACACAAAGACAGACAGACTCACACAGAGAGAGAAAGAGAAAGAGAAAGAAAAGAAGAAATAAATAAAAAAAGAAAAAAGAAAGAAAAAGTGAGAAAGAGATGAAAGAAAAAAAGGAAAAAGGGACAGAGAGACAAAAGGAGAGAGAGAGAGAGAGGGAGAGGGAG